AACTACTCCACGCTGCGCTACCTCCTCACACTCTGCTGCCGTAATGCTCGTTGTTTTGCCTAGTGGGTCGAAATCTCCTTGGACTCTACCGGCAAGATCCAACACTGCCACACTCTCACTTTGTGCCTGTGCCAGGTGGTCTACAACTATTTTAGCTGTTTCACTACAATTCCCCTGGCCCAGCACTTCACCACATTTACTCTGGCCTTCGTCGGCCTCTCCTGTTAGCGCGGCTTCTTTCGCAGCTGTCTACCTTGGTACATTTGTGAGCCTACTGCTTTCCTCTTAAATGCTAGCTTTTGCTGCAGGTCCCATTTGCGCCGCACTCAACTGTTTCTCGCACTTCTCGTGTGCTACCTGTACTGATTGCCCACTCTGTTTCGCATCTAAGCTGTGTTCAAGTCTTTCACACTCGCGTTTGAACCTTTCCTCTTCATCAGAATATTTTTGCATCGCTTTCCTGCATTCTTTCTTCCTTATTCTCTGTTTCTCTATTCATTCCTGTTCCCATAAATATGTATTCCTGAAGTGCTTAATATCGGCCGTGTTACTTTTACATTCGAGAATTACCTAACGCAGTTTAGATGCAGCATATCATTATCGAACTCTGCGTTCAGATACCAACACAAGTTCAACAGGTTATCCTTATGAAATCTCAATAGGCCCACGGCAACTACAATTGCTGTAGGTCAGGTGTGAAAAAAACACACAATAGAGTTTCAATTCAAGGTCTGGAGAAATTGAAGCCAAATCCCGCAGCAGGGACCAAAAGCTAAGCACACAAGTCGCACTACGTGGCCAACTTCCCTCTACACCTTTTCTCTATTTCTTTTTCACTCCTCTGCTCTTCAACATCTCAAAACTTTCCCCGCAACGTACCTTAAAACACCCGCAAAACTCACGTTCCTACTGCATTGCCCAAGCTTTCCTGCTTAATATTTTTTCTCGGATAGTCATCATGTGCTGCTCTGTGCTCAAATAACAACTACAGGGGATAAGGCAGTTGTTGTTCGTTATATCCATCTTTTAATGAGTCTGGGCTAAAAGACTCGATACATCTCAAGCACAAAGACAGGCACTCACTCGATTACGTGCGGTCCTGGTACGCTGCGTCCATCCTGCCTGATTTCAGGGCTAGGGCTTTTGGTTGACCTCCGGTCCATGTCACTCTCTGTCGCTAAGTGTCATCGCAACGATGCCATCCAGTTGTCGCGACCGGGGTTTGCAGGCACCGCAGATCCGGGATGAAGATGTCGAGGCAGGAGGAAGTGAACGTACGAGAGATGGTTTGTTTACATTATTTACATGACACGAGCTTTCTGGCCCGAAGCTCTACATTCAAAGACTCTCCACTGAAAGCACTATATTGAATAAGCACCTTGAACAAGCTCATAGCAGCCCGCGAGGGCTGTTTTTAAATAGTATCAATTTCCCAGATCGGGGACTACGTTCATACTGCACTGTCCAATAAAAGGTTCCACAGCACACACGAGGGTTATTCTGCCAGTACCACCGCCAACATACACACATACACAAACCAAACACGTCTATGGTCCGGGTGATACTGCCTCCTCCGGCGAATTTTGCTTCCAGTGAGCGAGGTGGAACGAGTCTGTCATCTCGCCACTCGGGCCGACCACCCATGCTTTGTCGAACGGTGGTCTTGGCTAGGCGCCTTCGACGGCAAATGCCTGGACAACAGTTGCTGATTTGAGCGTTAGCGGCCCATCAGTCAGAGACGCACAGCGTGGTGGTCCGATGTCCATCTTCGGTGGAAATTCAGCATTGTGGCTTTTCCTGGGGCGCGAAGACACCACGTGTCGCATCTCTGCGTCCGCCTTTGCGATATCAGTGTTCAGTTGAGTAATTTCAACCCCGCACCACCCAGTAAATGAAAACAGCAAGGTGTCTTCGCGCTGCGCCTTATCTCCACAATATGAGGCAGCAGCCTTTCTCCCGTTCTGGCGGCCGCCGCAAAAGGGGGGCTCGCCAAACGCAACAACTTCTGGATATCACATGCTACAAGCAGCGACGCCGGTTATCAATGGCGAAAGGGTGTTGTGCGAACGGTAATCGTGTGATGGTTCCTGGCAGCAAACGACACATTGTGATCTCGGGAGCGTTGAGGGACCCGGCGGTTCCTGGTGCAGCGAAAAAAATGTTCAATTGTTCAAATGTTCAAATGTTCAAAAATGTTAAAAAAATGTCCTTGAATTACCTGTCTTATTCTTGTCAGCTAGTGCTCAGATTAGATAATTTTGGGTTGACAAACCAAACTTGTAATCTTTGGACGACATTTGCAGCGTAGCATGCAGTTGCAAGGCCAATTTTCGCATTCCTCGCTAGTTTAACAAGACGTCAGTGAAAAAACAGCAGAATTTCGACAGTGCGTTGTTTTGAGTAAGCGTTTTTTTAATAGCTTCGGTAAAGCAAAACAGAGAGGTGAGCGAGTTGATACTGATTGATTATGGCGTAAATGTAATGCAAAAAAGACGAGATAGAGAAAGCGAACACTACAAGTGCTTGTGGCTGTTTACTTTCTTGTACTCGTCCTTTTTTAGGCTGCATTTACGCCATAATAACTTCGGTAAATTGAATCAAGTCGCTGTAATATTTGGAGCGCTGATTAAATTTGCAACAATAGAAAATATGATTGTTTAAGGTTGATTTCATCAAACATCCATACTTGTTATAAGTAAGCCTAACTGGTTAAAATAAAGTTTTGGTCTTGTCGGTACACATAAACGGTAACATTTGTCAGCTTTCATATAAATAAACGCCAGGTCCAAATCTACCAATGCGTAAAAATAATTTTGATAGAATATGTAAGGTGAACTAATAAAGCTTCAATATCTAAAATCAGTGTTAATTCTTTACAAGTGTAGGGAATTGAAATAGGCCAATGTGTTCGGTAATGGCTTTTACAACGCATACATGCACTCATACTAAAAATTTATTTTGGTTAAATATGTGGTATCTGATATATTATTCTAGAAGTATACTGGACTCTTCGCGAGACATCGTACTCTGAAAAAAAAGAAAGAGGCGAAACAAACGGACGGTAATAGAGACGAGGAATGCAAAAAAATGGCCCTGTAACTGCATGCTACACTGCAAATGCCATCGAAAGACAATAGTCTTGAGCCTGGAGGGAGTGAACAAAACGTTTAGTTGATGTTCTGCGCAAGAAAATTGGTGAATTGTATTCCGGAGGCGCTGTGTAAGAGTGTCTCGAGTGTGCAGCGGAGGCAAACGAGCGCATCAAGCCCCGTAACGCGTGGGACATGGGCGCTATCTGGCAGTTATCTTGGAAAATTAAGCGCGCGTGCCCAGCGCGCCCGTCTCGGAAGTGATAAGGTGTAGAACGCAAGGCTATGGGTAGGTGCCACCACCGTGTCATCTTAGCGAAGCGTTGGAAACACTTGCCTTTTCATGCAAGTGTTGCAAGTTGAGCGCAATGTGATAAATGCTACGATCCTTAGAATTACTTATGTACGCCTTTTCTAGTAAGAGACACACATACAAAATATTAACGAGTCGTTATGGGGCCTCAGATACGCGCAATATTTGCTTTTTATTTGGCAATCGCACAAGTATGTACGCTGAATGTTGAACAATATTGGTGGGTGTTGCGAATGAGGTCGGCCGTTTGAAGTATCGTTTGGCCACTTTGGCGCCGCTTAGGGTACTAATAAGGGCGGACAAACAGACAATTATGCAGACAGACAGACACAGAGACGAATGGGCTAAAACTTTTGCGTCATAGGTCTCCAAGACAGGGTATATATCGTCTATAAAAAGAAAAAAAAGTAGTTTCTTGGCAGAACGAGTCGTGCCGCGTCGACATTTCTGTGAAAGGGGGAGGGGGTTAGTGAAGTTAACCCATGTGACAGCCAGGCTGAACGTTTGAACACAGAGGGGACATTGTAGTGAAAGAAATGGAGAAAGGAGAAGGCACCTTTTAGATAAACTAGCCTTATTTTCTGTGTTGATGATGGGAGAGACTACGATTCTCGATGCTGCATTTTTTTTCTCTTTTCAGTCGTGCTGCCGTGGCTCTGGCTGCATTTTTTTTGCGGAAGATGGGAGTGTGAACAGTGCTGAGACGTAGTTTGGATCTGTACAATGCAAAGAAGCTGGCCTAAGAGCAGAAGTGGGGAAAAGAAAGTTTCTTCAAGAAGAGGCACTGGCACGTTTTGACGCTTCCACGTGCAACACCTTCTGTGGCCTCAGGACGTTTGCACGAACCTTTAATTTGAGTAAACTGGTCGGCCTCCCCTTATTTGGGTGAAAATGCGGTTGGCTTGGGTGGCGTAATGTTTGTGCATTTTATTGCGTATTCATTCTTTACGTTGTACTGAACTTTTTATTATTTTCTGCTTGAATCTGTTAGTCTTGAAATACATGCTCATAGAGTAATTACTTTGAAAAATGTTTACAACGACGTGTACCAAAGCATAGCGGGCAAAGCAAAATAAAGAAACAATGCCAACTTACCTCGAAAATATTTTCCAAAGGAGGTGAAGCTAGGCTCTCCTTAAAGAGAGGCCGCAACCACGCAAAGTGTATTGGTCCACTTTGCTGGAAGCATGACTATGAGCACGCATTAAAATGCAACTGTAACAATCAAAATTATTATGTGATAAAGTTAAGAAATGACCTGGAGGGGCATTTCTGATGCTGTCTAGGAGAGTAACAAAATAGAACTAATTTAGTTAAAAACTGCTTTTCAATGTTTCAGCAAAGGTAGAGCTATTGATTAAGAAATATATAGAAAAGCTTTGGCCAGTTTTGAACTTTGTTCGCATCAGCGACTGTCTCACACCGGATTATATCGGATGGGCTTTTTGGTATTGAACGCTCATCCTGTCTTTTGTGCGTGTGTGCGTGTGTGAGTGTGTATGTGTGTGTGCGTGTGTGGCTTCAGTGTTCTGAGTATTTATGCCTCTCGCATGACTTACAGTTCTCATGTATAAGTATGTTTTTGCTAAATTATGCAGGAAGCAATCAGCTCAACCCTTGCGTCGTCAACAATCTGATGGATGGTCCTTCGGGGATGGTAAAGAGTTGTTCTCGGTGGCCACGTTTTCTTTGTTTGTCGTGCGTCGTTTTGCAGCAATATGGGCTTCATTTTGAAGCGCTGCGCTTCAAACTTGAGTGCTGTTGATTTTATGGAATCTGTGTTATTGTGTTTTGTTTTTATTGGATTTTCGCATATTTGTTTGTTCCTGTCTGCTTTTCCCAAACGCTGGGTAATCATCAAGGTTTCAAATGGCATCTTATTTTGAATAAATCAACCAATAAAAATGTCAGTGTTTTCTTCAATTTCATCTGCTAGAGCTCTCTGGAAAAGTATACATGGTAACTTTTCAGTGCTTGCATGAGCATTAAGACTTCCTTCTTCTAACCTATGCGTGAAACAATAAGGATACAATAAATAAACAGCGGAGTAAACACTCTAAAAAGTACTAATCTATCTCGCAGAATTTTTGTCCAGACAAAGTAAGTGCATTAGTAAAGTACTACAGACGTACCACACAAAAGCTTCGGATAGCAGTAGTGCAAATTCCACGAAATTGATTTTGTGAAAGTTCGACCCTAATCCATATATTTATTACTTTTGTTGCTGATATAGTCTTGCTGCCTGATTGAAAGCCTGAACCAAAGAGGAAGAATGACCAGCGATCAGTTTTCTTTTGTCCCAGGGTCTCGAAGGCTCAGTGATAGGAACATATAGAACAATACAGTATTCTCGACATTAATTTACTATGGGAATGAAATATTTATTCGTGAAATGTGCGGTGTTCAGAGTGTAAGCCTTCTGTCACTTTTGTTATAGCACAAAGTTGACTATTAATAACACCATGCTTATGTTTAACTGCATGAATTTCTGTCTTTCGAAACGGAGAGGCGAGCGAGTTGTTACCGATTCGTTATGGCCTAAAAGTTGCGCAAAGAAAAAAGACAAGGACTAGGAAGTGAAGACCACAAGTGCTCCTACATTGAACACCAAATCACTTGTGGTGTTCACTTTCTCGTTCTTCACTATTTTGCGCTACTTTCACTCCATAATATTTCGTGCTCTCGTAAGGCTTTTGTGACTTTGTAAGTGTTTCGGGGCTGTCTCCTTTTCTCCTACTTCTTGGTATTGTGATTAGCGATGTAACTGGGCTTAAACCTTATAAGATGTATTAGCTAAGTGATTTTTATTTCTGCTGCTAATACATTTAGTATCTGTTGTCATATCTTGATCCAGAATTTTGTGGTTCAAGAGATATTGCTTCAGCTCGATAGCTGTCGCATAGACTGATCTAGTTATGGTTTCCCCTGTCTTTTATTTTGTTTTCTTCAAGTTCTTGATCTCAACAGCCTATAACGGGTGCATTTTACTGTACTACTGTTATGCGCTTTACTGTTTTTTTTGCCCTATCAGACAACCAGCTTTTCCTAAATACTGAACCACACCCCTACCCGGTAGCAAGGAGATGAATGAAATAACTAAATTATTAAAATACTTTTTCCATGAATGATGCGGGACTGGAACAAACTGTCACCAGCGCACAAAGACATTTAGTGAGAACTGTCAATTCTGAACTGCAACACACGTGCATGGTTCCATGAGATACAATTATTGACGATGCTCGTGCATGTAAGTAATATGTTTTTATGATTTATTGCTTGCTTTTATTCTGAATTCATTAGCCTTCTGCCTAATGTGTTCATTAAACAAAGTATTTATTTCCATGTTCAGACCTTATTTGGAAACACACCCACACACCCACATATACCCATCAGAACTGGCTGATTAGGCGGGTTGCCAATTCATGATACTTGAGATACTAGCTTGTAACTGCAAAGGAAATATTCTATATACGCAGTTCTGTTGATTGGCCCAGTTGTTCTGGGCACAAGGGGTACAGCATCTTGCTAGAAGATAGAACAAACCTTCTGTCCAATTATGAGATGTTTTTTTTTACTTGCTTACCTATATGTGCCACATGTTTTAACGCATAAGCGTTAAAGAGTTCATTTTGCAGAAAATCCAGCGTCGGTTTCCTCGGTTGCGAGCGCAAAATCTTTGTGGGAGCGAAAAATAGTTAGATGTAAATAAAATAAATAGTAAAAAAACATGGGTCTGAGTGGCGTCTAATCAGGGTTGTTTGCGTGGCAAGCGGGAGTTACACAAAACAGCCATGCCTCTATTTGTGAATAAAGTGAAAATATCTTTCTCTGCTTGGAAATGCAGGGAAAGCAAATTTCCTGCTTTACAAATACATGCATCCTGTGTGCATGCTTCACAGTACAACATGACCATCATGATGCGTCCTAATGTACAGCAATACCATCATAATGCGTGGTAAAAGCGTACATCGGCAATGGCGTCAGAATACAAGATTATCATAATGAATTCAAAGTTTACAGCCAGTCGCCCACTACAAAGAGCACACACGCTACTGCACCCTTACGGTCACATATTGGGCGCATAGCAAGTTGGAAAATCTTTCTTACAATAGGTGTTTCAAGTACGCACTTAGAACAGGGTATCGCTATTGCGTTCACCTCTTAAAGCAGAAGCCTAAGGGTCACCTCCCTCTTTTCTTGTTGTGCTTCACATATTGTTCCGGTGAAAGAAATGGGTAAAGAGCGTCATTGATGCTGGCAGTTTAGTATGAAGCCTGTGCCTTGCAGATTAACATTCTTTCCCCAAACCAACTTTGCCTGCGCAGAGCCTCAAACTCTGCTTCTCTGTATTGTCAATTAAGTTTTTCAGTACTCCCTGTAAGCCTGCATGTGCACACTTTGCGTTACACTAATAAGAAAAATATACACGTCCTAGTTAGTGCATGTGGTGGCAGCATTATGGCATTAAAAATTTTAAATACCAATGCCACCTGTTTAATAAACTCTAAGCATGCTAATTAATGCATTAAAAAGTGTGTGATCATGTAGTGGGTAGCAAGCTTGAAATAAACCAGACATAAAACGCATTGCTGCAGTGACGAAAGAGGTTCAAACCGAGCCGTTTGTAACTATTACTGGAATTTCGTTTTTTTGTTGGTACTAAGGTGTGAAGTTTGTGGCGAAGACAAAGGAAGTTAATGATTAAAAATTCATGTTTGTGGTTCTTGCCAGCCTAAACCAAGCGATGTGGGCGGAATAAAAGTCACCTGCTGTTTTCAAGCGGTATTAACAGTCCTGTAAAACCACGCTGGTTCGATTTCTTTAGCGCTTTATCAAGAATATTAAAAATAAAAAAACAATGCTTTAAAATGGGCAGCTACTTCATGCAGTGCTTAACAGTGTCGTCACATTGAAATCATTCACCGTTCACCTAATTTAAGCATTCCCCCGATGAGCGTTGTTGGAGGCAAACAAGCAACACACACCTTTGTTTTCGTTGCTCTGTAATCGGAATCATTACTGCAACACCAGCCTCCACTCAATGTTTAGAGCTAACAACGCTGAACCCGCTTTTGTGGTTGTATTCGTTTTCTTGGAGAAAGAGCCTGTTTTATAATTAGCTTTATCTGCCCAGGGAGATGGGGAACTATAATGGAGGTATGCAGAAGACGGCAGCCTCAACACCTGAAGAAGCAGGCTTTTTATGCACTCTTTTTCTCAATATATTTAACAGCTAACAGTGCAGCACCTGCAACAGCTCCTAACTATGCATGTTTCCGTTTGAAGAACATGAAATATAAAAAAAACTGAGAGCCAGAGCCACATAAAAAACTGCAGCATGGGACCAGCGCAATAATAATAATGATAATATCATACGGGTCTTTACGTGCCAGAACCACTGTAACATTGAGGCATGGTGTAGCGCAGTGCTGCGAAAATATAGACCTATAGGTGTTCTTTAACTATAAATATAGGCGCTCGTCAGCACCACTGACATTGCACGGTACACGAGCCTCTATCATTTAACCTCCATTGGAATTATGCGAGTAATGCAGCACAAAAGAAGTTGATGACTAAAATTGAAATTTCCTGTTTTCGTCAGCCTAAAGAAAGTCATGCGGGCAAAAAAAACTACGTGCAGTATTCAGCGGTATTCACAGTCCTGTAACAGCCACGCTGGTTCGAGTTATTTAGTAGTTCGTCATGACCTGATTGTAAGCACTGCTTAGTACTATGTGCATAGTACTTCGTAGAAAATGAGTCTGAATACATGCCTAGCTGGCATGATTTCACTGCCTTGGCAATAACAGCTGTGCTGGTGCGCAGCATTTGAAGAATATGACACCAATTTTCTCACTTATATACTTCGTCACTCACCTAGCCTTTCAACACACAAAAAAATGACACCAGTGTTACACAACCACTTACGGTCACAATAGGGCCTGATCCATAGAATTTCATCATCATGATTGTGTTTTTTACTCGGGTTGAAGAAAGCGCATATCGCTGTTCAGAACTCTGATACCCACAGATGCTAAACACGGTGACTTGATATGTCGTTTATAATGAACAGACCGGCATTGCCAGTGACAGGCGTTGCAAGTACTGCAACAATTTTTTAATAAAAAAAATACGCTTCTACCGAGTAGTTTCACTCGCAAAGAAATTACGACCTTTAAGAAATGCATTTTGGACGCGGGATTTGGCCCCGAACAGCCCACTGTGCAACTGCGCCAGCACGAATTCCGCAGCGCGTGTGCTTGCAAACTCACGTCCCCGAGTACAGGATGCAAGTTAATCATCGTGTATAACCTTTCATTATCACGTGAACATGTGTACCACGCCTCGTTCAGATCGACTACTTATTTCAAGTGCACACTCATATGCAAAGAGTTCCCCTACGCGGTCGACTTCAGAAATTGCGAGGCCCTTCAAATAAAGCAAGAAAGCCACCGGAAATCTTGAAACGTTCGATGGTCGTAAAAACAGACAGAGAGCGACAGCGTGAGACGAGTACACGATCATACACACCTCACCGGCAGGACACTATCCGCTCGCACACAAACTTCGCGAAAAACACACGTGTCATGAACCAACAGGCTCTCTTGGGGATAAACAACTGAAACGTTTTCCTAGGTAGTTCCTAGGCATACACAGACCTTTAAGGGGCTTCCCCAAATCCAAGATCCGCGGATGGATTCTATGAGAAAAGAATCAGCCGTACCTTTCACAACTTTAGACAAAACTGAGAAAGATGGAATTCGTTTCGCCGCAAGGAATGCTGCCCCCGAAAACCCGCATTTGCAAGCACATCTCGAAGGCCGTGCATTAACTCTAATCACGTTAGCCCTTGATTTAGGTTTAACGCGGCCGCCCGTAGTACGCATTCCCTGCATTGTTCTTCAAACATCTGCACATGTTCATTCGCAAGCTAAGACTTGTCATATATGTTTAGGGGTCCTGTTACTGTATAATTCGTCTACCTTGTGCACTAAATGCACAGCATACATTAAATCCACCGAATCCACAAGGTGGACTCCATGCGTCGACATAGCCAAGAGCACCATCATGTGCTGACTCAGTTTTTTTTTTTCATATAACGAAACGCAATTCGTCGAGTCGGTCCTGTTCACGAAGTGGACACCCCGAGAATCACGCCACAGCTGAGCGAAATGACAGCTCACAGCGAAGGGTAATATAAGAATACCTGTTCTGTTAAGACTGCAGTTTGCGCGTTGATTTTGTATGATTGCACAACCAGGTCGGTTATGTTTGTTACTCTAAAAAAACGAATAAAGCAGCATCGACTTAGTGATGCGATGCCCGAGCGTTGAGCGGGGCTCGGTGGTCTTTGTTTCATTTTCCTAGTACAGCTTGTCTTTCACTAGCTTCTATTTTTTGTGTATCTTGCCTTTCTTTCTTCCTATATATCTTTCCCTCTCACATTCTTTCTGTTTTCTTTCTCTCGCTTGCTATTTTCGTCTAAATATTTTCCCGCTTTGAGTCTGCCGGGTTTTTTTATGTCGGTTCTATGCTTTACTTTCTCTTTTCCCCCTTCCTCACTTTCATTTTCGCGTTGCACCCACTTGCTAAGCTATACACAACTATAGTTAGACTAGAGTGCTTCTGCGAATTTCCATGAGTTGTTAATTGTAGATTGTTTCAACAGTTGTAAGGGCGCCATCCTCTCTTACGTCCTGCAGAGGCCTTTTAAAAAACATCTTAAAGGGGCCCTGCAACACTTCTTCAGCATGGTCAGAGAACGCTGCCGATCGGTAGTAGAGGCTCCCGACAACACGCGAGGCAAATATTGTAGCCCATTAGGCGGCCTGGAATTCACAATAAATGATCAAAATCAGCTAAATATTGCTTTCTCTTCTCTCGACAAATGGCGGAATATGCCCCAAAATCACACGTAAATTACCCATCTATGAGTCATTGGCTGATATGAACATGACGCGCTCGCTCGTTACAGAGATCGCCGCGTGAGGCCGCGACTTGTCCACGCGTGCGTGGGCGATCACACCGACAAAGCGGCGCATTCAAGGATAAAGAAAAAAAAGTGCTCAAGACCACGAGGCGCGTGTCAAGTTTTTCTGTGGCCCTGCTATCTCTTTCTGCTTAGCTTCCAGCGCTTTCGTCGGGACGAGAGAAGAGAGAATGCAATTGCACCATGCGACCAACCTTTGTAACTCCACTCGCACTGGACGGATTCTCAAAATTTTTGACGCGTTGAATTTGTGAGGCAATAAGCTTTTCCACTGAATTCATTCCGCGGTGACTTGAAAAAAGCGTTTTAGGGCCCCTTTAACTTTCCATAGCCTTTGGTAGCTTGTACCGTTTCAATGCAATTTATGCCAGTAGACTTGCTCTTGTTAGTGTGCATGCACAGTTTATAGAAAACTCGTATGTTATATAGGCATGCAGAACACATGGTGTCTTCGTGATCATTATTTGTAATAACGACTGTTCTGCTAAAATACTTTCATGAATTGCAATTTCAGCCGAGCTCGCATCCCGAGTTCATAAGGTCCACAGCTCATATACCTTTTTATACCACAGTCTTGCATAAAATTTGTTTTGTAATGTCTATTGTACATTTGTCGAGGCAGTTTCGAACATTTAGTACGCTATGTATAAACTTAAAACACATTCGCAATAAACACCATGTAACAGAAAAGGAACCGTAGATTGCTGACTGGTCATGATGCTTGCCTTCAGATTGGTACGCTGGTTTGAATTCGGCCTCGTTAAGAATTTTTTTCGTGCCCCGCCGCGGTGGTGTAGTGGCTAAGGGGCTGCTAAGGTAGTGGTTAAAGTAGTGGCTAAGCTGCTGACCCACAGGTCGCGGGGTCAGATCTCGGGTGCGGCGGCTGCATTTTCGGTGGAGGCGAAAATGCTCTAGGCCCGTGTGCTCAGATATAACTGCAGGTTAAAAACCCCTAGGTGGTCAAAATTTCCGTAGCCCTACGACACGGAGTCGCTCTTAAGCATATGGCGGTTTTGAGACGTTGAACCTCACATATCAATCAATCAATCAATCAATCAATTAATCAATCAAGAATTAGTTTCTTGAAGAATTTATGTCTTTCTGTCTCGTTCTGTACTCGCCGCCAGGAATATAAAGAGGATGAAAGAGCGCGTGTCGCCAAAGAAGGTTTGCTTGTCAGATGTTTTTAATAATGAAATTCTCGTCATTTATTATTACGAATTATTTTTTAAATTATTAGCTATTTACCTACTTTATTTGTAGGTCACCTTATAATTGTCCACTCATGTTCCCCAAATGACCGAATAACTATTTATTTTTGTAAAAATTTAAAATTCTTTTTCTCTCTTTACAATAACTGCCAGTTTAATGGCAAATCTCTTTAGTGGGAACGAGCCAAAGCATATAAAAACAAGCAAACAAGCAAGCCAGAGGTTTCCATGGCGCGTTTAAAAAGGTGCAGGACATTGATGGTGATGATGATTTTTGTTTGGGAGGGGGGATGCGTAACGGCATAACAAAAAGCGTAACAACTCATCTCCGAAATCAGTTGACCGCCGCTTTAAAACTCAGTCGCCGATGTGAAACATTTTAGTGGTAAGAAGGGTAATGGTCCCTTGCATATTCGGACCTTGAAATAATGTGGAACTGCAGTTACATATTGAACTGATTTGAAAAAAATCACTCGGAGACATTCATGTAAAATGGGCAAAATGTACTTTATTTGCAGTTGTAGGGACAGTATCTCACATGGTAGATCGCTTATGCCCAATATTGTGCAAGCAACCACAAATTTTTTCTTTGGTCCCAAGCTGAAACCTGCTTTGTGATAAGTTTCTGATGGCAATAAGTGAATGGTCACATGATATGGGAAATTTCCAAACGAACAGAGGCCAACTCCGCCGGTGTTTGACGTTATTTAAAAAAAAAAACATTTACCTTGTGCTGCTACAAAATTAAAAAACACAAGGACAGGCGTACGAGAGAGTCCTTTGGTCTTGGGTAAAAAAGAGCAGAATGAATAAATGGTGCTGGGTAACGGCTAACGTGCGTGTTGCATGCACGTATAGCAGCCAGTGTGAATGATAGCGAACGATTAGAGGCTGGTTTGGTAAACACCAACACCAATGGAGTGGCAAGTGGGACAATGTAATGTCACATTCACCAAACATTGAAAGTAGAACTTGCATCGGATTCCTCTGGTAGCAGCCAACTTCCGATATCTCCAGTTGTGGACTGTCCTGTGGAAGAAGTTTTGACTGATGTAGTCCTCGTTCACAAAATCGAATACGCATAGTACAATAGATGTGCTTTCAAAGGGAAGTTTTATGGCATTTAGACTCGTTCGGAATGCCTCGTGAGTTGGGTACATGGGCGTAAAAAATTATTTAGAGTTTCCTATTAATGTGCAAGACGGAAAAAAGTTCTTGCAGTCACGTGACATACAAAGCCCTAACAATTAATGCCACTGAGTTTTGTCGATATTGCGCACTTTTGCTTTTATTTTGACGTGCATACTCCCTTTAGAGTTCGAAGTATTGTCGGAAAACTTTCTGGTCAGGAAGTGACAATGAAATTAAAAGAAGGGCACCCATAATGACAGAGAAATTCGAAACCAGACCCTTCAACTCCACTCACGGGAGACTTCTTCACAATCAAAGCCAGGACGAGTGAAGCGGTGCTTTGAAAGCTTAAAAATGCGACGTGAAAAGCAGTTGTAGATATAAGGATGGGTTCCCTCATTTGCGTGGATTTTATTATACGTCGTATCAGTCAAAACTCATTAAACAGGCAGATTTGTGAATACTCCCAAATTGAGGCGGTACGCCTATTCATTTTATGGCGGATGTTTTCTGTGTCCTCTGTCCAAGCATTCAGAAACACTTTTTTATTGGCATTACTAACACGCAGCTTCACCCGGTGTTCATTATTTCCCGGCTCGTTGATATATATGAAACCGCATCTTTACACGGAGTAATGTAAGCAATGTCGTGGAACTTTTCTTTTGAAAGCTTGTTTTCAATTACCGCTGCTGACGCCATTTCTTTGTAACAACAGTGGCAACTTTAACGTCTTAGTGCCGTAGAAAGTGGGTCAGACCCTCGCTCATAGCGAAATTTTCAGTATAGGGGTCAAGTCTTAGTGGCAGAGACAGCTGGAATTCGGCCAAACCGAAACAACGACCTTGGGCCCCGAACCATAAATGATCTGGGGCACTGAACAAACGACCTGGTTCACCGAACAATAGATTTTCCGTTGCCTGAACTATCATTTGAGAAAGCGCGCATGCACACAAAAAAACAGTACGGACAGTAACATTGCACTATATTGCGCAAAGTGTAGGTACATGCACCGCTTCAAGAAAACGAAAATACCAAAACAATACAAGAACAAGTGCACCAGGGAGATGTACTATGCCCACGTGATCCCCACTCGCATTGAATCATTCATTGGCACGTGATCCATAGACCTGCCCATGAAAGAGCATCATTATCTGGACCATTTATTGTAACCTTCGCGCATGTGCCAGATAGCGGTCGTCGTACCTTTATATATATATATATTTCTTCTTTTTCGCGGGAATATATGTTAGCTGCGGCCAAATAAAGAAACATCAGTCAACGTTTGGTTCCTTCTTTGTTTTGTTGTCTTAGTTTGTATTTAATTTTCATGTTTAAAATCTTTTTATTTTCATTATTCCTACTTTTTTTAAATCGAAAGGTACTCTATGGGATAACAAACGTACATAGGAACTTTAAAGGCTCATCATGAAACAATCAACTTGAAGCTTTCCATAAAGCTTAAAAACGATCGGGAAAATGGTCAATTTGCTTCATAGAACATTCTCTATTTCAAAAAAAAATAAGTTGGCCATAACGCAACGCTTTGCAGTTCAAGCAGTACAATAAATTCGAAATGGAAATAAGCATTCTAAGGCAGAAAAGGGGGCGTCACTTTTAGGAGGATGATTGTTAGGAACATGTGTGTGGTGGGTTCCAATTTCACAGTCACGTATATCACGCAGCGTTGGACCCTTATCTCATTGATTTAGACAATATTTGTGATGAATAGGCTCTGTTATTGTCACGCGTTATAGGGCTGTTCATTCAATGACAAATTTGCCTTTCAAATATAAGAAACGCGCATATAGAAAACAGAGTGCGCAATATCAGGTACTCGGGCACGTAACACACGAAGAATAAATAATAATGGCGTAATGAACATATTTGATAAGATCGTCCAACATCAGCAACAGCAAAAAAATATTTGAAAAGTCAAAATGCTTATATATTTCCCACGAAAAATGTGCTGTACCGTACCGTACAGTTCCTTCAGTATTAGGAAATACTTACGCAGCCCACGAACGCTAATCTAGTATAATTAGGCCACCATCGACAGAGAAATCTAGAAAAAAATTTGCACAGCGGAAAAAAACAGCATGTTCGTCACCATTGCACATGTAACCCTACACAATATTTGAAATGATATTAATGTCTCTCCATTACAACAACGGCGCATTACCTGCGCTTTCGCCAGATCACTTGTTCTAAAAGGACGGCTTAGTGTCTGGTCCACCTGCTTTAAAATGTTGCACTCCCCCCGCCCCCGCTAAATGCTTATAAATACATCAGGCGGTTGTTGTGGGTGTTCATTGTGCTTCATCAAATCTGTTGTGGAGCTCAAGAGCTACGAACTTCTCAGTTGAAGTACATTGTGGCTGCCGCATAGCCGTTTTACATGCCGTTCTTAGTACTTTGGTCAACTTTACTTTTTTCTTTCTATTCCTGTTTTGGTAAGGGTAGCAAGTATGCTAGTCTGCTGATGAATAGGCTTATTAGCAAATAAAGCACGTATTGCTCTTTCATTGCAGCACGACTGTTCGTTATTCACACGATCACACAAACAACTTATTCAGCTGTTTTTTACGATGTTTGGTATGTCGATGCATCGGTGATAGTACTGTGATCACATCCCTGATATTCCAGTGGTCGCAACCACTCATATTAACCACCTCTTGCAAATGCCATCTCGCAAATCCTCGCTCTAAGGCCGGTAAAGACATAGAAGTGATAAAAACATAACCATGCCGTGGAAAGTGTGTGCGGTTATTGCATGACGAAAGTTTGTGATAATAAAAACGATGATAGACATGTATGGCATTAGCACAAGTGCCTCCATCATTCACACTCTTGCGTCCAAGGGCCGTGAGATAAGTGCTTTGTTGAGTGTAGCCACCGCAGCGGAGACCTATCGGGAGAGGTCATGCTACGAAATGCCCGGGTAAATGATATGAAAAGTATGAACCTCCCGTAAAAAACCTAACAATGATTTATGTGTAAAAAATGGTTCCCTAACGACGAACATTGCAGGGCGAAGGGGTATCTGCTGTCGGTAGAGTAATGGAAATTGTTGTTTTCTTAGCATGTCTAAATCTTTGCACTGGATCAGAATGTGAAGTATGGTGTGCGCTTCTCCCCATCTTTCACACAAAGGTGGATCGCCACCAGACAAAAGAAATGAATATGTAGTGTATGTATGTCCTGTTCTTAACCTTGTGAGTATTATTTCTGTGTGGCGTGATTTTGATACTGGCCAAGTTGCGGCTTGATGCCATGCAATTGATTACCTGTGTGCGTGTCCCATGTGCTCTGCCAATAATCCCTGAGCTTTCGTTTTAGAAAGGCTTTCAAGTCAGATGCAGGAACTGGTATCGATATATTGCTAGCCGTTTTGTTGGCAGATCCAGCTAGCTGGTCCACCAAAACGTCGTGTTGTATTTCGCGGTGTCCAGGCACCCAGCAGATTACAACAAGCTGCTTAGATGAGTACACTTTGCATAGGAGTGAATAAAGCGAGACAAGGTGCTTTTTGCTTTGAAGGTATTTTCAGAGCTTTTACTACGCTTAGGGAATCTGTATATATGATTGCCTTCTGTAGTTTTATTTGTTTAACATGTTTAAGGGCCGCAATTATTGCATAAGCTTCGCCGGTAAAAATGCTTGTACCAGAGTACAGAACGCCACCTTTCGAAAAATGTGGGCTGATGGATGCGTACGAGACAGAAGTGTTAGACTTTGAAGCATCCGTAATTAACTCAGGACGTGTATTTATGTTGTAGTTCAAGGAGGTATGTCTGGATATATGTGATTGGTGCATGCTTTGTAACCTCCACGAAAGACACGTTGCCGTCTATCGCCTTCCACTGCTATGGTGGCAGGCGTACTGCGAGAGCCATCAAGCGGTGTTCGAGTGGCACACCGGTTTCCTTCGCTAGGCCCCTCACACGGAGTGAGTAGGGCTCTCTCATAGAAGACCATTTTTCAAACATAGAAAGGCTTGACATGTCATTAATTGTGAAATGTGATGGGTGGTTCTTGTCTGCATTTACATTAAGATAATATTTAAAAGACATGTAAGATCTTTGTAGGTGGAGCGACAATTCGTTCGATTGCACGTACAAGCTTTCCACGAGGCTAGTGCGAAACGCACCCGTAGAGAGGAGGACGCCTTGATGATGAACAGAATCAAGCATTTTAAGGGCAGTAGTTGTCGAAGACTGATATGATATTGCCCCATAGTCTAGGCGGGTACGTACAAGGCTTTTCTACAAATTCATTAAACACTTCTTGTCGCTTCCCCACGTAGTGCGAGACAACACGTTTAGAACGTTCACAGCTTTTGTGCACTTGTTTTTTAAATATTTGATGTGTGGTATGAAGGTTAGCTTGGTGTCCAAGATTAGGCGTAAGAATTTGTGTTCGGTATTAACGGAAAGACGTTGCCCATGCAGTTGAATACAGGGTTCGGGATGAATACCTCTCGTCCTGGAGAACAAGACACAGTGCTTTTCTGTGCATTCAGCCGGAACCTATTTTCTTCAGCCCAATTGGAGACTGTTCCAACCAAGCTGAACTTGCCGCTCACACATGGCCAGATAACAAGACATAAAACCGAACTGGACGTCGTTGACATATGTGGAGTAAAAGATATTTCGAGAGATACCCCAGCGTAAAGAATTCATTTTGATAATAAAAAGTGTGCAGTTAAGTACACCACCTTGCGGCGCACCTGTTTCTTGGACAAATGTTTGGGAAAGAATGCTTCCTACTCGAACTCGGAATGTTTGATTTGACAAGTAACTTTCGATTATGTTAAACATTCTTCCGCGAACGCCAAGATAGGACAGGTCTCTTAATATTCTAAAGAGCCATGTTGCATCGTAAGCCCTTTCAATATTGAG